TGTCAGGCTGACAACTATCACTGACTGTGATACTCAGTGTCTCTCAATCTCACCCAGTACTTTTACAACTAAATGACATAGAAGCCACAATTGCAGAATCTAAATGTGACTTCCTTTCCCATCCACTAGAAGGAAGCTTTTTCTGGCAATCTTAAAACAGTGGTAACACGTGCTAACAAGCTACCCATTTCCATTTTATTAAGAATCTTGCAGGACAGAAAGGGATAGGCAAGGATGGCCAGTCTCTCCCAAGAAAACCTCACAAGCAAAAGAAAATTTTAAAACTGTTTTTTTTTTACAATTTTTTAAATAGAAAGTGAAGATAACCAAGATTTTACTCAATATTTACTCAAGACAGACAGACAGATAGATGATAGATAAATGATAGATAGATAATAGGATAATAGATAGGTGGTTGTAGAGTTAGATAGATAGATAGATAGATAGATAATAGATGGGTGAATAGATAGATAGATAGATAGATAGATAGATATGATAGATAGATATAAAATCACATGGCTCCGTGGTAAAGGAGCTTGTGGCCAAGACTGACCACCTGATTTAACACTGGTGGAAGGAGAAGAACTGAGTCCTTCAAGTTGTTTTCTTACCTCCTCATAAGCCCTGCAGCCCACAGACACACATAAAATAAATAACTGTGAAGAATCAAATGAGAATTTGGTTTGGTTTAAATCAAAATTTATACATTTAAATAGTAACAAACTCAGAAAAATAGGAGGTATGAACAAAGGGCAAAGGGTAAGCCAAGAGCTCACTTCCCTGACAGACTGTCTAGCAACCTACTCAAATCCAAAAGTGCCTTATAAGGACAGGGCATAAACGGGGGCACAGTCTGTCCTTCTGCTCCCTTAATTCTAACCACCATCTACTTTCAGGTTCATCACATAAACTGCCCAATGCTTATAGAAGAAAAGGAAACACAAACACTTGTGCAAATGCGCAAATTCAACCTTCCATCGTTATCACATACTGTTTTGTGTTTGGGGTTTGTTTGTTTGAAAACAGGGTCTCACACATCCTGGCTAGCCTCAATTTTACTATGTAACCATGTCTGAATATGTAACCTTGAACTTCTTGTTCGCCTGCCTCCATTCTCAAGTACTGAGATTGCAGGTATGTGCCACCACATCTGGTTCTTTTAGTTCCGGGGACTGGAACTAAAGAGTAGGAGAATTAGTCTTCTTCAAGGATGAGGCTCTTAGTTGGTTATCCAACACCAAATGGTCAGCTCTGAAACCATGTATGTACAAAGAGCACCGAATAGATTCAGAACACTGTATCTATAGGTTTATGTCCATCTATACATAACAATAATCATTAAAGACAAGAAAGACACTAATTTGAGATGGAGTAAAGAGTGACAGGTGACATGGGAAGGGGGAAATTGTGTAATATGGTTTTGTTTTAAAAATTAAAATTAGTCTGGTGGTGGTAGCGCACGCCTTTAATCCCAGGACTCAGGAGGCAGAGGCAGGCAGACATCTATGTGTTTGAGGCCAGCCTGGTCTACAGAGTGAGTTCCATGACAGCCAGAGCTGTTACACAGAGAAACCCTGTCTTGAAAAAACAGAAACAAAAACAATAAAAAAAATTAAGACAATTTATAAAAATAAGTAAATAAACTGCTATTTTTGTACTCTGAAGTACTATATGGCTCTTAAAATGAGCTTTATATATAGGATCTACTAAAAAACTGGAATCAGTTGGTCAAATGCTTGTCACTTAAGCATGAGAACCTGAGTTTGCTCCTCAGCACCCATGAAAGAAAAAAAGTTGAGTGTGGCCATGAATACCAGCAAGCTCCAAGCTTACTCACCCTGTCTCAGAACAAGGAAATGGAGAGTAATTGAGAAGATATCTAGTATCAACCTCTGGCCTCCTCACATATAAAGAAATTGAATAATGTAGATATATGATATCCAGATACAAGCATATCTATGGAAAAATTCTACAAACATACACTCTATCAATACTCAGTCATAAAAAACTTGAAAAATTGACCACAACTATAACTAAAAAGGACACAGAATCTGTAATCAAAAATTTCCCAACAAAAAAGGTCCAAGAACCAGATGTGTTCACAGATAAATTCTACCAAATACATTAAAAAAATTACTGGCAATTAGCAAGAACTATCTCCAAAAAAAAAAAAATGTTCATTGTCCTGGCAATTAGGGTTAAAAATAAAAGAGGAGAAAAAATGCTTCCAAACTCAGTCTATGAAGCCACCATCAGTCTGATGGCAAAGTAAAATAAGAAAACCGCAGAATAATATTCCCGATCAATATTCATACAACAGTAATCAGTCAAATATTATCAAACAATTCAATGGGATAATAAAATGATCAAAAAGCATTACTAAGTGAGAATTTATCTCACAATGCAGGAATTGTCTAGCATATAAAAACATCAGTGCAATCATTATTTGACAGATTAAAAGGGGGACACATACATGGTTATCTCAACTGTTCCCACCCCCCAAAAAAAGTTTTGATGAATTTCAAAACCCTTTAAACCCTGTAAACAGTGGGGCTAAGTAGACGGCTCAGTGGGCAAAAGCTACTTCCAAGCAGACAACCTGAGTTTGATTCCAGGAACTCCTATGATGGAAGAAGAGAACTGATCCCTGCAAGTTATCTTTGAACCTCCACACATGCACTAACACACACACACACACACACACACACACACACACACGTACATACACTGATACATACACAAATGTAATTTTTAACTTAAAGAATTCAATAAGCTAGGAAAAGAATGAAACTACCTCGATACAGTAAAAGCCGTCAATTAAAAGAATGCAGTTAACCTCGTACTCAGTAGCCAAAGCTTGATAGATTTTCCCATTAGCTTGGGAATTAGACAAGAATGTTAACTTTTGGTATGCTGCTCATCATACTACCAGAAGCACTAGCTAGAGTAAAGAAAAGAAATAAATGTCAACCAAATTGGAAAAAGTAAAATTATCTCTGTCCGAAGATAGCAGGATCTTGCACACACACACCTAAACATCCATACAGAAAAGAAGTGTTAAGGCCAAGCAATGAATTTAGCAAAGCTACCAATACAAACACACAAACAACACACACACACAGAGAGAGAGAGAGAGAGAGAGAGAGAGAGAGAGAGAGAGAGACTTGGATTTCTATATACTAAAAGTAAACCATAGGAAAAAGAAGTTGCAAAAAGCATTACATTTACAATGGCCTCAGGAGAAAAACAAACTCTAAAGGGATCAATTTGACTGAGGGAAAATATTTGGACAACAAAAATAACAAAAGATTGCTGAGACAAATTTTAAAAGATGTAAATAAGTGGAAAGATATCCCATGTTCATGAACTGTAAAACTTATACTGTGAAAATAATGATAGCACTGACAGATCTACAGATTTAGTGCAATCCCTATCCAAATCTCAATGCTGCTTTTATGGAAGTTTCCGGAGCAGCTCACAACTGCCTGAAACTCCAGCTCCAAGGGGATCCGTCTCCTCTGGCCTCCACAGGCATCTCCACTCCCATGTAAGGTACATACCAACACATATACACAGAATGAAAAATAAAAGAACTTTTTTTAAAAGAACAAGACTAGTTTTGTAAGCTTCCTGATTTCAAAATGTATTTAAAAGCTAAAGTAATCAAAATAGTGTGGCATTAACACAAAAATAGACAATCAGAGTGGAATGCCCAGAAACAAATCCTTACGCATAGTCAAAAGTTTTTCAATAGGGATAATAAGACCCAAAGGTTAAGATGATTGACGTAAATACTTCAAATGTTGACATAAACTTCATGCAATGAGTATTTGTCACAATTAAAATTTGAAGTTAAACATGTATAAAACTCACATTTTATTGAAATAGAAGATACACACACACATACACACACGTCATTACTTCTAGACGTATGAATGATGGTGCCAAAGAATAAACACCAAACAGCTGATATTGGTCATCTCTGGTGTACTAATTTAGGAAAAGATATGCGTGTGTGTGTGTGCATGTATGTGCACATTGAGAAAAAGAGACATCAATTTTTCTTTATATGACTCCATTATTGTTTGACTTGTTAAATGGTATGTATTGATAACATATATATTGCATTAAATAAAGACATTTAAAGTAACAAAGACAAAATAATGCAAAATCATTAAAGGCTTCAGTTTGTGATGTGTACATTGGTGATTACCTTGTTAAATAGTATTTGTTTATATCATGCAATAAATACTATACATAGTATGCATGGTAGATAGATAGATAGATAGATAGATAGATAGATAGATAGATAGATGGATAGAGAGAGAGAGAGAGAGATAGTATGACAAAGACAGAAAACAACGTAAAGGCAAAGTCATCAAAGGCTTCAGTTTGTAATATGTGCATTGGTGATCAAAAGGAGGAAGCATGGAGCCTTAAGGATCTTCTGTCCTGCACAGAATGATCCCAGAGAGGCTGACTTTGTTTAGATGCCGATCAATTAAATGGCTCGTGTCTTGATGACACCAATATTAGTCTTACAGAGTCTAAGGAAACTGTTTATGAAATCATGATTGTTGATGAGTGGCTGCTTATTAAACAAATGTTCCCTTTGGATGCACTGTGCCTAAGGTTATCAAAGGTCAGCTGAGACAAAGCAAGCCTAGGCCCTGTTTGGCCCACTGTCTGTCATGTGACTTTTATAGAGGGCTGTCATGTTTGTCAATACACCTTCCCCTAGACCAGAGGGAAAAGAGGAAGCTCAGTGCCACTAATTGATCATTGACTACAGCAGACGATGTAAACACTGTTTATAATTTTTCTCAATTACTCAGATATTGACCAATCAAAGACCGACTTTGCAAACTAGCATCAAGGAAAGATGCTAAATGCGAGATGAATACGCAGCTCTAAGGAATATATAAAAGGTCAGGTGAGGAAGGTACAGTCCAAACTCAGAAACTTCTCTTCACAGAACAACCAACTTGACTCCTTACACGATGGCCTGCTGCGCTACTAGCTTCTGTGGCTTTCCCACATGCTCCACCGGTGGCACCTGTGGCTCTAGCTGCTGCCAGCCCAGCTGTTGTCAGACCAGCTGCTGCCAGCCCAGCTGCTCCCAATCTAGCTGTTGTCAGCCTTGTTGCTCCCAGTCCAGCTGTTGCCAGCCCTGCTGCTCCCAGTCCAGCTGCTGCCAGCCCTGCTGCTCCCAGTCCAGCTGCTGCCAGCCCTGCTGCTGCCAACCAAGCTGCTGTGGAACTGGCAGTGGCCAGGAGGGTGGCAGTGGAGCCGTGAGCTGCCGCGTCAGATGGTGCCGCCCAGACTGCCGCGTGGAGGGCACCTGCCTGCCCCCCTGCTGTGTGGTGAGCAGCACACCCCCAACCTGCTGCCAGCTGCACCATGCCCAGGCCTCCTGCTGCCGCCCATCCTACTGTGGACAGTCCTGCTGCCGCCCAGCCTGCTGCTGCTACTGCTGCCCCCCAAGCTGCTCTGAGCCCAGCTGCTAAGAGCTAGGGTGCTGGGTAACTCAGAATGAAATGGAAAGTCCTGCAGAATTGCGTGGATCTCTAAGAAAATGCTCTGTGTGGTGGATGCTAAGTATCTTCATGTCGCTAACCTGCTCATCAGTAGTGAAACTATTCATCGGGACCACACAGATGTGCTGGAATTAGTTTACTGCAAACACACCTCAGTTGATGTGTTCAAAGGACTCTGCTTTGCTTAGGCAGTGCACCAGGATGGGGTGGAACTTCATTCCAGTGACATATGGACTTCCTTCCCTAGTTCTTGGTCTCCACATATCTTCAGCCATGCTTTCTACTTCAATAATCTCTGTTGCTCTCAAATAAAGTGTTTTGTGCACACTTGGATAGATTTCTGTCCATCTTCTAATTTTAAGCTGCCCACCTACAGACCGTAATAATCTTCAGGCATAGATATCTAAGTCTAAAACAAAATTGCTATGTGAAAATTACTTTATGCTTGAGTCATCTGCTAATAAAAAATGTTCTGTGCATTAAATAATCTTCATGGCTATTTCAATATGTGGATGTTTTATTAAAATAGATCCAGACAAATAGAATTACCCTGGATGAACTTTTTCTATCAGCTCTGACCTTGTCCCTTTCAGTCCAGTAAATGTTTTTCTTCATCCATGTACAAAATAAAGAAACCAGATTATCTACTAAATAGATTAGAAAATATCTACCAATACCATTTCTGAGACAACTTGGATTTAGTTCCTACTACTTGGCCTTCTCGTTCCCTTTGGTTCCCAGCTCTGTAAACTTCAACTGCAGTATTCACCTGCACTTGCCAAGGGTAAGAGGGGTACCTCTGTGCTAGGTGAGAGAAGAGCAGACAACTTTGGGGTATAACTGCTGAGTTCCAGCCTCATGTCATACAGATGTGTTAGAAATCTCAAACATAAATATCACAATCTAAAATTTACAAGCCAGTCAAAACATGCCTTTTTGGAAAATGAGACAGATTTTATCATCTAATTTTAACTCTTGGGTAAGACATTGACTACAACACATAAAATACAAAAATCTAAGAAGACATGAGAAAATTCTTTCGAGGTTATTTACAAGTTCCCAGAACTTACCTCTCTCATTAGATTGGCAGCAAGGATGGATCACAAACAGGATGGTACATTCCAGAAAATTGAGTGGCTGTGCATTTTTTCAAGATGTCATGACTCCTAGATATTTTCCCCCAAGCTTTTGTTCAACCGCCAAATTAAGACAAAAATAACTCGACGTTCCCCAGTGTCTCCACAGCAAATGAGCCTCCTTTGTGGGCAGTGCTACAGCTTGAAAGTGTTATTTACTCATTCTCGAGTGGCTCAGGCGTCCATGAATCATGCCTGATGCTCCGCCCCCTCAGTTACTCCCCCACTGAATCAGATTCAATAAACATTTAATAAGACTCTATCAAAATCAGGCTAGATACTTTCTGAAAAACCATGTTGCTTGGTTCACAACGAAAAAACTCTGGCCTGAAATACAGTGCTCACACGTTACCAAGCAGCTGGAAGGACAAGAGCTACGAAGCTCATTTGAGATGGGGCTGGACAGAGCCAATGTGGAAGATGCGTCTATGACATGTGATCAAACACCCCAATGTACTCAATTAAATGTAACTCGGTCTATGTATCCAGGAGGGAAAAAATGATTCTTGGAAAGAACAAATTGTCCTCTGTTTCCGAGCTGTGCATAGATGCCCAAGAGGAATGGCAACTATTCACAATAAGGGTGTCGCCCTAACCTAAAGTGAGAAGGTTCTTTGAACATGGAAACCACAAACACTCCCCTAAAGAGTACATGGCCCAGAGAACGAGTCGCAACAACCTTATAAAACAAAGTCATTCCCATCATATGTCACAAGAATTTCAATGGAAGCCAATCAGAGTACCACTGAGGAACAAATTTAAACAAAAACAAGAAAAATATGTTAAGAATTTTATAAGCACTAGCTCGCTCGACTATATAAAGGGCCCATGTTCAGGTCAGCTCCCAAACTCAGAAACTCATCCCAGCTCCTCAGCACCCAACCAACTCCTAACATCATGGCCTGCTGTGCTACTAGCTTCTGCGGCTTTCCCTCTTGCTCCACAGGTGCTACCTGCGGCTCCAGCTGCTTCCAACCAAGCTGCTGCGAAGGTGGCTACGGCTATGGCATCGGGGGTGGCTACGGCTATGGCATCGGGGGTGGCTACGGCTATGGCGTCGGGGGTGGCATTGGCTACGGCCAGGAGGGTGGCTATGGAGGCGTGAGCTACCGCGTTAGATGGTGCCGCCCAGACTGCCGCGTGGAGGGCACCTACCTGCCCCCCTGTTGTGTGGTGAGCTCTATTCCCCCAACCTGCTGCCAGCTGCACCATGCCCAGGCTTCCTGCTGCCGCCCATCCTACTGTGGACAGTCCTGCTGCCGCCCAGCCTGCTGCTGCTACTGCTGCTAACCCACCTGTTAAGAGCCAGATTGCAGATTTTCAATGCTCCTGAATTGTGCATCTTTTTGACCAACCCTGGACCAGTAACAATTTCTTCAACCTTTACTTCATTGTCTACTATGGGGCTATAGAGTACCAGTTCATCACAGTCCTGTCTGGGTCTGTTCTATAATCAATATCTTGACCCTCTACAATGGATTCAGAAATGCTAAGAATTCACCAAGTCGTTCTGGATACACTGGTTCTGAAACTCTTGTGGATTTAAAAATTATCAAACTCTTGAGAAATCTTTTCTTAAGAACAGACCAGAACTCTATCCATCCTGCTTGATGACCAGTTTTTCATTTCTGTTTACTTAAAACTTTTCAGCATCAAAGGCACCAGACTACAGCTGAGAGACATTCTTCGAATGTCATCATGGAAAATGGAAGTTCTTTACTGCACCTCCAGCCTCTAAGAAATAGGCTAGACCAGCCTGGTTGTGGTGGTGCACACCTTTAATTCCAGCACTCGGGAGGCAGAGGCAGGCAGATCTCTGTGAGTTCGAAGCCAGCCTGGTCTACAAAGCAAGTTCCAGGACAGACTCCAAAGCTACACAGAGAAATCCTGTCTCAGGAAAAAAAAAGGAAGGAAGAAAGGAAGGAAGGAAGGAAGGTTAAACAGACTAAACTATTCCTCATTTTGCCTTTGATTCCTTATATTTTGGATCATAATTAGCTTGCCTATTGGGTATTTCCATTATATCTGTAGTATTGTGTCTTGTGATGTTTCTTAATAAATATTATATCCTGAGCAAAGAAACCATGGTTTTTGTTTCTACTTGTTCATCTAGTATTTCACTCTCTTACAATTTTAGAAAATGTACTTAAATGAATGCTTTTGTTTCTTCTGAGAAACTAAGTCATTCATGCATCATGTATTATTCTCGCCATTAAAATGCATTAATGGCCACTGTAAGGCAGGAAACTGGAAGGCATAAAGAATCAGTTCTTATCTATGACAACCTGGCTATCCAGAAAGAAAAAGCATATGGTCAAATAGCTACAATGTGATGAGATAAATTATAATCTCCTCCCAGTTCACAGAAGCACTCTTAGTGGGTAGTGTTTGTGGTCAATATGTCTTGAGAGGCCTGCTTACAATAAGGTATTTCTCCACAGGCCAGGAAGTACCAAAACCCTACTTGAATAATATGAAATAACAACATATAAAACTGAGAGAAAATTTTTTTGTCTAGAAATATAAAAGAGAAAAAAGAAAGAGAGGGGCAGAATTATATCATTGGGAGCTCATGGATCTTGCTATGTGATCCCTCCCCATCAAGTCAACAAATTCACATCATCTTTGAGACTTTATGTGAAAAGCACTAAAGTTGCTGGGCTTCCTGTGTGCATCAGTTTAGAAAAAGACAAAAGGCACCGAGGGGCTGACAGAACAAAGGGACCAAAAGAAAGCAATGCCTCAAGATCTTACGGAAATGACCGATGGTCTGTGGATGGTCTCCACACTGGAAATAGTACCTTGGGTGTGTTTACTGAAAGGAACACATAGAATGAGCAGCAGAATCTGAAAATGATTGCTTCACCACGGGACCAATAAGGCCTTTGTGATGGCATCAGCAGCAAGAGAGGCTTTACGAAGGAGAGAGTCCTCATAGGGAGCTGTGAAGGTCTTTCCCGGTGAAAAGAAAAGGATGAGAAAGAAGAACTTATACACCTATAAGAATAATTAAATCCAAAGCAACAACACAACCAAATGCTGATGAGGATGTGCAGCAATGGAAAACCTCACTTGTTGTTGATGGGGAAGCAGAATGCTACAGCCCTTCGGTAGTCTGGTGCCTTATTGCAAAACTGAACATCCTATTACCATAGAACCTATAAATTGTGCTCCTGAATATCTACCCATTTGAGATGAAAACTTATATCTACTTTGAAAACCTGCACTGATGTTGATTGTAAGTGACCAAGATATCTTTCAGCAGGTGAATAGGATAAACAAACTCTGGGACATCTATCCAGTGAAATACTCTTTGGTTTATTATAAAAACAAGTGAAATAAACCAGTCTGAAAAAGCTGCATGCTAACTAGTTCAACAACAGTTCAAAGACACAGAAACAGTCGATAGTTAAATTAACTGTCCTATATACTTGCTGTACAGATGTCTGGGTCTAACACTGGAAGACAAGCTTAGGATTTAAAGAAAATATGTTACAGAAATAGAGCATCACAGGACTGTCTGATGAAACCTACAAAGCAGGAGGTTAGGTTTCTGAGACAGCATTCCTTCTCAGATAAATGGAGCATGGGAGATGTTATACTCGCTTCCTCATCACCTCGGCTCATCCTTCTTATTTGAAACATGCACCTGATGCTTCGAACCAAGTCCTGTGAAATAGGCAGAACCCTGGTTCTGACATTGATGACTCTGTACCCACGCCCACAGCTAACCTACCAGTGAGGAGAGTTGGTGTGATTCAATCAAACCAATGCTTGGTGGATTTCCAAACCCGGAGGCCTAGAACATTCCTGTTATGTGGTACGGAAGGCTAC